CATTTGAAATGTGACAACATGAAATATTTCACCTGGGATATTGTTTTCAGAAAAATGAATTTTACGTGGTAATTTGTATCATGGTTTGGCTTTCTTCATCAAGCAAACATACCTTATCAGTAGCTGCTGAATATGGTTGGTTAACCAATGAATAATTTCACTGATTGGAGCACAGTGATCATTCACTCTAAATGTCAAGGTTCACTGATTAAATTCACGTGTTGTATGGTTTGTTTCATTGCATTGCACAAAAATTACTGGACAGAATATGAATGAACTTTATATAGATCATATATCTTCTGCAAATGAAATATTTTATTTTTATGTGATATTATGAATTTGCAGCTTTCCAAATTTTAAAAGATTTCAGTGTGATTTTTTTTTAAAGAAATAATTCAAATTTCTTACCTTTGTTGTAGATTTCAGTTACTGGTTTTAATGTTATTATAAATTCTTGTGAAACATTTCTGCAGAAACTTATTATTGGCATTTGTAGATACTGTACAGTTTAAGCATTCACCTGGGATTATTGTGAGGTCTTTTGTTAAAATATTGGTATTGCTTCTTACTCAGTCTGTAATTTTTATTTTTTTTGAAAATTACATATTTAGTGATCTTATAGTTTCAGTGTTCAATAAAACTAATGAAACATTTAAAATTAATCTATTAACTATTCATTGGCTAGATATTTGGCTATAAGATTTGGATGGATATTCATTACATGTCCAAACATATGCTCCCATATTTCTGGCTTTTCAGGGGCTATGTCGAGCATTTTACCAAATTTCTAGTGATGATAAAAAAATATTCAATGCATGTTAAACTATGTTACAGCTATGAACAGTAGTGTACATAAAAAAAAAGTTGTTAATATGATAGATGTTTTGGAAGGATAATTTCATATATTACTAAATAAATTTTGTCTTGGCCTAAAAGTTGAAAAGACATTTTTATTTCAGATACAAGTATTGTGTAATACCACTTTATTTTCTTCGTGCTTACTGTTTCTAGCATCAGATATTTGAGTCTTTTTGTTTTATTATTCCTTAATTGACTCCAAAACATCGAGTTTGATTTACGGTATTTTCTTATTTTGATGTTTTGAGCTCTT